TTGGTTATTTTTTGTAGAAGAGTACTTCATGTTTTTTTAAATGGCGTTAAATAGCCTATCTAATTATTAATAATAATAATAATCTCTATTAGTAAAAATTTTATCCAAAAAAAAAAGAAATAATAATAATAGAAAGATATGTATATAATATATACAATGGATGATTATTAAATTCACTAATAGATGATGGAAACTTTTCAGATATTTCTAATGATGCCAATTCTTCATTTTCATTTTTATCTTGTTCCTAATTAATAAATTTTTTTAATTATTATTTAATTATTATCTGTAGAATAAATGAATAGTATAATAATATTGTATACAAAATAACATTTACTTACCGTTTCAAATGGACAAGTAAAACAGGATAATGTCTCACTCCACCAATCGTAACCATCCTTTGTAGGTGGGACGCGTAATTTTCGTGTTTTTGCACCCCATTTAGTTGTATATCTACGTGTAACATCTTTAATATATTCACTTTCATCAAAAGCAACAACATAAGCCAATACATTATTATGATCATTAGTAGCTGGTTCCATTGAACGTGGTTCATTCACTGTGAACCGAATAGGATCAACACAAAACCATTTTTTATGTACTTCAAAATAAACTTCACACCAGAAAATTGGTGGTGAGTTTAAAAAATATTTCTCGCTATTATTTGATGATGATGATGATGATGATAAATTAGTATTAAATGATTTCCTTCGTTTCAAATTATTCGAACCAGTTGTTGATCTTTTTCTTTTGGTATTATTGACATTATTATACTCATCTTGATTATGATCGTCTTCTTTTTCTTCAATATGTTTGTTTTGTAAACTTAGTTTATAAGTACCAATTCCTAATACTCTCATGATATCATTATCATTCGAATTGTCAATATTACCAATCTTATTATTGTTGTTGTTTTTGTTGTTATGACTTTTATTTTCACTTCTACTTGATGATTTCTTGCCATTACCACTATCACCGTTATCATCGTCGTCGTCGTCGTCGTTATCTTTCTTTTTTGATAAAGTAGTGGCTTTATTCTTACGCGCAAATGTGAAAGAAACAGGTTGCAATGAACTAACTAATCTAGCAGGAACTCCTAACGAACGCAAAGCTGAAACAAATAATTGAGCAGATATGTCACAACTACCTTCACGATCTTTAAAACATTTACGAAATGCCTCGATGGATTCAATATTTTCTGAACTTATTAAATGCTCTTTTCTAACACCGTCTACACCAAAATCATCAAATTCTCTCGTACAAAGTCCTCGAAATTTTGTTGTAACTGTAAAATAACGTTGCCACCATTTACAAAATTCGTTTAAAATAGTTAATAAATTTCTTCCACGAGATTTATCATTAGGTTTTAATGCCTTTTCAAAAAGATATTGTATATCACGTGGAATCAATGAACAAATGATCGCCTAAAATTCAATTAAAAGTAATAATAAATAATAATGATGATAATAATAATAATAATAATAATAATAATAATAACAATAACAATAAATGCCTTTGTCAGAATATCATTACACCATCTATTTTTAATCATACAGCTAGCAAGTAAAGTAAGTAAATGTGATAAAGATCGTGAAGGTAGTTGTGACATATCTGCTCAATTATTTGTTT